ATAGACTCAAGCTGCGATCAGCTGAAATATGAGCACACAAAGAGCGAGAGGGAAAAAGAAAAGTAAATAGGCTTAGGCTAGTTAGTATTTTTTCTCTCACAAAAGTTGGCACGGATCATATGCCATCTTTCGTGGAGGAGGAAACATCAAACATCAAAGGGCGCACGCGGGGAACAGCGGGACTTGTCTCGTTGTTGAAGTCCCGATGTTCCCCCACTTCTGTTGGCGGGGGAACATCGGACCCGGGGAACATCGGGACTTTTTAATACGCGAAGTACCGATGTTCCCCGGGTCCGATGTTCCCCCGCCTATAGAAGTGGGGGAACATCGGACCCGGGGAACATCGGACCCGGGGAACATCGGTACGCACCCCCACAAACAGCTGGTTTCTGGCGGAACCATCGAGCTCACGCTGGTGTCCTCTCCTCAAACTGAGGAAGGTGTTGCCCTCATCCAGCGACCAAGGAGCTGTTTTCCGTACGGACGTCATGGGTCGAGGCAACGTGTTGTTTGTTATGATATTTGCAACAACTGAGGCAGCGGCTGCAGAGTGATTGACAGCGCATCTGGCCAATCAGAATTGACGTTCGCCGACGTCAGATTGTTTTGGTGGCCTGGCTAGTGGAGTGAAGTCGGCCTTTACTATGGGTCAGAACTACATAGGGAATGAATGGCAGCACCACCACCGAGGCGTTTTTGACGCTTGTCATGTGAAAGCCCGAGAGCCGCACGGAACAAGCCAAAGAGCCGCATGCGGCTCACGAGCCGCGGGTTGGCCACCCCTGTGTTATAGGATGTCATTGTACGACTATGACATCACACTCAGAGCAGTTCCCATAAATTGCGACACATTTTTTTTTGGCAATTTATTATGTGAAATGACAAGTGAAGGGCTGTGTTTATAGCCATCAATGTTGTCTTAATAACTATTTTGATTGTTTTCCAAATCCCTATGCTCAGTCTGGTAGCATTGTATTAGCCTTGTATAAGAGACTTGAGACTTGACCATAAATTTTGTCCTAAAGATATTCCATAATGCAGTTAAAATAATAATAATCATCGTTATAATGTTGTATGCATTATGCTTGGCCAATCTTATTTTTTTATGGCCAAGCATAATGCATTACAGTTCTTCTTTATATCAATAATAAATAATAATGAATTCAGATAAAAATAAAAAAGATAAGATAGACTTTATTGATCTTGAATTGATTTGGACATTTATCAACATTCATGGACATTGGTCAACTCCCAATATGGACCAAAACCTATGAGTTCCCTTTTTTTCTTGTGTTTGAACTTTTTGATTCTTGATCCGTGTTGGCGATTTCAACAGTTTTGTTAAGTCCTCTAAGAATGGAAAGTCCTCACAATTGAGAACACAATTGGCATTAATGGGATCACTCAGGTCGTGCAAAAGACAGGAAATGTGCAAACGATACAAAAAATAGTCTCTTTCAAGCACGGAATTTGCGATGTAGCCACAAGCTAGTCCTGCAGCGTCCCCGGTGTTAAAGTTGAAGGAGTGCACTAACTACCATCATTACACCCGTGTCCGCTCTCAGCACAGGGAAAAAGCAAAAGTCACTGCCCTATACGCAAACAATTTAACAGGGTCTCCTAGCAACAGTCCTTCAATGAAAGGCTGTAATTGGGACAAATGTCGCCGAGCGCACAGAGGCGGGAGGGTGGGCACGCTGTCTGGATCGGATCAGTCCAATTGTTGTTCCCAGTATTAGATCTGTGATAAAGGGGTTTTATTGAAGGGGCAGAGGGCAGGATCACGCCAGGCCCAAACGGACTTCCACAAATGCCCCTGACCGACTCAGATTGACAGTGCGAGGGAGAGAGAAGAGGATGGGAAAATATTAGGGTGGAAATTACTACATTTGGAGAATTATGTTGGATTCGAGAAGATTTAAAGTGTCAGGAAATCAGAAAGTACAACAATTTTCAAGAGACATAAGATTAAAATCCCCTCAGCCTGAAGCACTAATCTATCGATAAATATTGCATACATATGTGGAGCGAAGAGTAAAGGCATTATTTTAAAGCACATGAAACAAAATTATAATAAACAAAAGATTAAAATAGGAAATAACACAAAAAAAAATGAAAGGTTCAAAGGAGGATTTTCTACTCTTCCGGGTGGATCATCAAGACTATTGGCCCTCCCAATTGTCAATAATTTTGGCAAGTATATAGGTATGTTTTTTAAGATAATATTTTAAAAAAACATTTTAGTGTGGAAAGGCCCAGCAATGGACTGGAGTTGAAAATTAGCAATAGCTATAAACTCTTTTTTTCTATGTTGACTTGCAATGTTCCTGTCAAATAAATGAATATATGGAATAAAGGGGCGACATTGGCTCAGTTGGTAGAGCATTGGCCTTTGAGCCTGAAGGTTGTGGGTTCGAGCCCACTGAAAGACCTACTTCAGGACTCCCACTGATGTCTTCTGTCGTTGAGTCCTTGGGCAAGTCACTTAACCCCACTTTGTCTGAAGCCCCCGCTGAAAGATCTCAGCTCCTGTGGACTCACCACCTGCAGGAGGATCAGTGAGGGGCTGGTGCTCTGTGTACTGCGGTGCAGCTCTGACTGCCACCCCCCCTGACCCAGAAATGGATAAAGGGGAAGAAAATGGATGGATGGACCCCAACCCTAAAATAAATAAATAAAGTACATACTCCTCAAATAAGACTAGAGAGTTCTTTCCTAAAATTTGGGAATATCCTCTGGTATACCTTTTTAAATAAAAAAAAAATAAAAAAACTGAGATATATCACAAGTTTAAAACAATTGCTCATACAAACATTGGCGTCCTTGTTTCTTTGCCCTGGTGATGGCTGAAAACACTATTATCTTGCTCACAGATGAAAAAGACATCAAATTATTACCAATAAAATGCTGGAAACCAACAATACTCGAAACCAGGCTGAGCCCATAGGAATACTAAATACAATGTAAAACTTGGAGAATAGTGTTGGGCTATTGAGATATTTTAGGTGCATGTAAATTCACTCCAAACTTCCTGATATGGCGGTAAGTCTGAAATGGCCTGAAGGACCCTTGAAGACCCCTGAAGGCCCTCGGACCCCATTCCAATTAGCAGCATTTCAACAATGGATGGATGCAACTCAGCAGTTTCCAAAATAAGAGTTGAAATGAACTGGATTACCCCCTAAATACTTTGCATTAGATTATGAAATGTTTTATGTGGATAGTGTAAGTAGTATGTAATCGTTATTTAGCGCCTTTCACGGACCAGAGCTTAAAAGCGCTTTACAATTCATCCTCTCACTCCAGGAGGCACATGCCAGACGTATTGTGTTTTTTTGTGGTAGGGGAAACCGGAGCACCCACAGAGAACCTATGCAGACATGGGGAGAACATACCCTAAACGGTCCTGAGAATATATCGCTTTGCTACTTTAAACACTTTCTGTCAGAAGAGCAGGAGTCAAAACAGGATTTGTGAGCATTTGAGAGTGTTTCAGGTACGTGAGGAGAAGAGTTCTAATCATAGGTTTTGCCCTTGAAAAACACAACACACAGTTGCCACAGTGATAAAAAGTACAAATTATGACCTAAAGCTGGTCAAGTTGAGAACATCATAAAAATTCAGCTTGAGTGAGAAAACAATATATTTTTTAATCACTGTGGCGGGTCAATTATGGCATGGCGCCGTAAAGATGGCGCCGTGGCAAGAGCTCTGGTGTGTGTCGTTGGTGCACACCGGGGTAGTCTTGCACAGTTTTTCCAATGTGGTTTTACTGCAAATGGCAAATAAATGAATCTGAATATGAATTTGACCCGAGGATGAATAGCAAAAGGGATACTTGCACCTAAAATATCACCTCTGCCCTCTAGTGGTAACAGGTAAAAAAAAAAGTTTACCCTTCATACATTTTGCACCTTACTGAGAATATGGTGAAGCATTTTCTGTTACTCAAACTGCTTTATAATGTAGAGTTCCTTCTTTCCACATGCCGTGAAGCAAAACACCTGGTACATCAAATCCTCCAACCATCATCACAACATTCATATCTATTACATGTTTTTAAGAGGTGTACGGGAAATCTACGCAGACACAGGGAGAACAAACAAACTGCACAGAAATGCCTCGTCTACGGTGGAATCAAACTTGAAGTGCTAACCACTGTGCCACTCTGCCACATACACAATGAATGGTGTCTCTCGTTTATGAGAAGATATGTTGTGTAAATGACAAGGAAAATAACATTTTATAATGTGGAAAAAAGCTTTAAAAAGTCTCCTGCAAACATACTATATGGTACTCCTCACAAGCCCCCAAGCATTTGGATAAAAATAAAACTGTTTTATTCTATCCCTCTTTTAAACTGGAACACTATAATATTTTTACCTCCATCACTGACGATCGGCTCTGAGACATGTTCATTCAACAACTGGTGATGGAGCAAAAGTTGAGAGCTACAGTCTTGTTATATCTTCTGCAGTCTGTTGAGATAGTCATGCTTTGGCATTATCCATTCACTCTGAACACAGTGGTGGCAAAGTCTCACAGTGGTGATAAACTCACAGAAGCGAGGAAACCTGTATGTGATATTGGCTCCTCCAACCACCACCAATCATTCATGCACGCACAAAGCAGACTCATACCATGCAATGTGGGTGTAGTGTCTCGCTGTGGGACACAACAATAGCTAAACGCGTTACAACTTCAGCTGCTCCACTTCAGTGTTTGCAGAGGTCTCACATCACACTACTACCCAGGCTCTTCATTGCTTAGCAGCTGAGATCTGACCGGAGCAGCAATACACATTGAAGAAACATACTCCCTATACTTATCGCGTGAAAGTTAGGACCCCGCGCTTTAAAGACAATTAAATGTTTATATCAGCCGGGCCTAATGTTGTCTGCAAAAGGCTCGTTGTGCCGTAGTGTAGAAGAGGTTGAATGTATGCACAGTGTCTTTGCGGTGATTACGAAGCAAAGTCTCACATTGAATTCCATCACCCCTCACCCCCCGCGCCGCCTCCCTCCCTCCCTCTCCTCGCCGCGCTGTGCCGCTCTCCGCCGCTCTCTGCCGCGCGGCGCACCCAGCAGCTGCACTCCTCTCATGCCTTCTCCCAGCAGCTGCACTCCTCTCATGCCTTCTCCCAGCAGCTGCACTCCTCTCACGCCTTCTCCCTGACGATGCGTGCGCGAAGCCTCCCATACAGATGAGCGCGCCGCTTTGACGTATACGCAAAACCCGGGGCTGATGCCGCTTCTACTGCGGGCTCACTCCACCTTCGCAGCACGGACAACCGCTGCATCCCCTGCTCCCAGAACACCCCGCAATTGAGACTGAGATTGTTTCATTTTCATTTCTGTTTCCCCCTATCTCTCTCTCTTCCATCATTCGCAGCCGTGAAGGAGTTGCATGCGTGTGGACCGGACTGGACTGGGCTGGACTGGACTTGGCCGGCCCTGTCATCTGGTGCTGAAAGACGTTCTGGCGTGAGAGCAGCTTTGGCGTCTTCAGCGGACATATGTAGCCACTTAACCGGTTCGTTCGTCTGTGCGTGGAGTGATTTGACCGCGCCGTTGTGTTTGGCAATGTCTTCACTCAGCCTATGCGTCTGGATGATGCCTGCCACTGGCGTTGCCGACTCCAACATCACCCTTTCCCCCCGCTGAAGGCACTGGGAACGGACGCGGCTGGTGCGCGGTGGTGGTGGTTGTGGTTGTTGTGGTGGTGGTGGTGACAGCGCAATTCTCAAAGAAATACGGGCCGGGAATAACGCACGCACCTCGGCTGATTTGGAACCAAGCAATCCCCCCCTCCCTCCATCAACGCAGCCTTCTAAATACCATCAGTGGGACATTATTGACACTAGTAGCAATAAGCAGCCACTCCAGTCCATGCATCCTGGGAAGACTTCTTGCACTCTGCTAAAATAAGAGGGATGCGGAGATTTACGTGAGGAGGAAAAGAAGAAGGACAAAAAAAACCCCAGAACATGCACAGAATGGATCTAATAATAATTCGTGTTTTGGGCTTTCTGCTGGCGCTGGCTGTGGATGGCGTTCGCAGCCAAGGAGTGTATGGTAAGTAAGATTTTCCTATTACCACCACATGACCTTGCAAAAAGTATCCCCCCCCCCCCCCCCACTTCTTTGCAAAGCCATGTCGGAAGCGTCATGTTCCGCCGCTGAGTTGGTTGTCAAGACGCGCTTGTCTCATCCTCTCCATCACTCGCGCTAAATGTGGTACCCGTCTATGTGTAGGTGCATCCGTGTACGTGTGCGTGAGAGGTCTGGGTTCGCAGTGCAGCGCGGTTAAATGAATCATATTCTCAGTATACGGGGTTGGGGATGGCACGGGGGTTCTTAGTATGCAGAGCCATGGTTGATTCGCGTGTGTGGCGAATGTGTCTCGCTGCCTCTCCTGATATTTCTGCTTGTCTGCCTCCGCTCCTCCTCCTCCTCCTCCACCACCACTTACTTAACAGTGAGCACACGTATCCTGCCGTACATTGTGCCGTGTGTGCGCGACCACAGCAGATTGAATGAGCGTCATGTTGTGGGAGATGTCAGAGTGGAGTCCATTGGATTTTGGAGCAGAGGATGGAACAGACGTTGCTGGACTGAAGCTGGAGTATAGCTGGAGTATAGCCGGACTAAAGTTGGATTAAATATGGAGTATAGTTGGTCTATAGCAGGACTAAAGTTTGATTCATGATGGATGGACTATAGTAGGATTTAAATTGGATTAAAGATGAACTATAGCAGGACTAGAGTTGGATTAAAGATGGGCTATAGCAGAACCACTAAAGTTGGAGTAAATATGGATTAGAGCTGGACTATAGCAGGACTAAAGTTCTATTAAAGATGGAGTATTGTTGGACTATAGCAGGACTAAAGTTGGAGTAAATATGGATTAGAGCTGGACTAAAGCAGGACTAAAATTGGATTCAAACTAGACTATAGCAGGACTAAAATTGGATTCAAACTAGACTATAGCAGGACTAAAGTTACATCTGGACTGGCTAACTTTCAAACAGTGCTGGTAGTAACTTGTTCCAGAAGTAACAGTTACTGAACTCAGTAGTGTGCCTCATTACAAAAACGCAAAATGGTAATATTTGACTAGATACAATCAAATCCATACCTTCATATTCTTGGTTTTATCCCTGTTGACACTTAACTTAAGAAACATTAGATCATTAGAGTAAAAAATAGCTTTGCCCTGTAACAAAATGTATACCGATGTCATTGGAACAGTGTGCCTGCTATATAGTAGTGTTTGGATAATAACTATTACTACTACTACTATTATAACATACTGTATAATATCCCAATAACAAGGTAAACACATATATTACATGTTAGATCACCTTTTTTAGACACACAAGTGAAAAATAGTGGACCCCCCTCACTCAGCCAATCAGCTTTCAGCCCAAAATAGTCAAATACTGACTCACAGGGCTCTTTCTTACAAGTTTGCAAAATATGACATGTTTTCTAATTCCACAACATTTGACTCTCTTTTATACATGAGGAACATAAGTGAGGTACCCCAGCTTTAAGGTCAAGTCACAGGCAACCGACTCTGAACTGAAACCATTCTGCCAAGTCATGGAGTGTGTGTTCAGTGTGTGTTCAGTGTGTAAGCATGGCTGCAGCCGATCCTCTCAACAGCCGTAGGGGATTCTTTAAGCCTTTTGGGAAGTTTCAAAGTTACTTTTCAATATATTGTAATTGTATGTCTCTATTTGACCAGGGACAGTGTACAGATTTACATTAACAAATCAAAGATACCGTTATTGCAAGACTGATCATTTCTACTTGGGCAGATGAGTCAATCGTGTAAGGAAAACTGAAAATCAAGATTTATTTAACCATGAAGAGCTGAAACTCCCAACTGTTACTTTGAATTTCCCCCCAGAATACACAATTTGTATTTAGGAAATAAAGTGTGTTTATAGACTATATATTTTCTTAATTTAATTTCATACAACCAATCCAATCCAATCCATACTTCAACTCAACAGGCATAACAAAGACTGCACAATAAAAGCAATCACGACATTTCAACTAGAAAAAAAAAAGTCAGTCTTCAGTTTAGGAGATGTCATGAGGCAAAGCATGCAAGAAGCGTTAAGGTAGAAAGCTGCTTCTCTGATTTTTTTTTAAGTTTTGCTCAATGACTTTGGATACAGAATATGTTGATTCAGATAAATTTACATGTCCTCCCTGCAGCCCTGGCCTCCCCATTACATTGGCAAAATCCATCCATCCATCCATTTTCTACCCTTTAATCCATTTCTGGGTCAGGGGGGTGGCAATCAGAGATGCCACCCAAGTCTCATAGCACCAGCCCCTCACTGACCCTCTGCAGGTGGTGAGTCCACAGGAGGACAGCTACTCTAAGTGTGAGCATAGCCTTGATCTTTCAGTGGGGGCTTTTGGGCAAAGTGGGGTTAAGTGTCTTGCCCAAGGACACAACGACAGCAGTCATCAGTGGGAGTCGATGGAGAAGGTGCAGAGGTGGGAATTGAACCCACGACCTTCTGGCCTTAAGGGCAATGCTCTACCAACTGAGCTACTGTCGCCCCTGTTTGCCCATTGGCAAAATATCCTTACAAATACTCATTACAATGTCACTTGATTTGCTTTTTACTTCATTCATTCATTCGAGCAGAAAGAGTTAGATTCATTCATGTTTTCAATATAATAATTACAACTCCCACTATTTGCATATTTTTCTGTTTGTTGCATATCTGGCAACCTGAGTCAGGGGGAGTGCAGTACCACATTTGGCCAAATTTTTTCCAGATTTCTCCTTTAAGTATAAGTACTGTCAAACACTCTTCATAAGCCAAAAACATGAATCCCCTCTATTCTTCAGGGTCCTTTTCTTCTTATTAAGCCCCTGACCACAATGAGTTCGTCACCCCTGCCTTATACACCCTCGGATAAAGCCGATTTTCACCAGTGTAAAAGCTCTAGCTCCACCTTCAGGCAGAAAAGACAATCTCTCTGTATTATTTATTATTATTATTATTATTATGATTTATGTCTGTGTTTATCCCACTCTAATCTAATCAATGAGGTCATAACTCGCTGCTGCCATGACGCGGGTCCGGCATCCTTCCACACCACCGCCCACCGTCGTAGAATCCACTCCCCACGACTAAACTCCAGCCCCAGAGACCAACACCTGCCACAGCAACACCAATCACTGCTGCACCTCTCTTTCAGACTCACAACATCACCTTCAGTCCTCCCTGTGCGAAAACACAGATACATTACAAGCCTTGCCAAATACATTTACAAACCTGTAATCCTGTGCAGTGGTTATCATAAATGTTAATGGACCTGAAATGTAACAACCAAAACAGTAATCATTAAATATCTAGTGTTTTATTATTAGTATTATTATTATTCATCTCATTTTTAGCACTGGTTTTTGGACCTAATACCTAACTGGTTGTCGGTTCGAATCCACGACGACCCATGGCATCTGCTCCCACTGATGTTTGCTGTCGTTGTGTCCCTGGGCAATACACTTAACCCCCACCTGCAGGGGGATCAGCAGGGACTGGTGCTATGCGCATTGGTTGGCAGCTCTGATATCTTGGGACACATATAAAATGAAAACTTTACACACAATCCCTTTAATCTAACTAATGGAGAGAGAGCATTTCAGATTCATCAGATCAGATTCAGATTCAATTATTCGCCATTTGCAGTAAAACCACATTGGAATACATTTGCATAAACTTATGCTCTATTATTGCATTTTGTGGGGATTTTAGTGTCCCTTGTCATCCGAAACATTGTCTAGAGCTCTGAACAAGGTGCTCATACATCTAAAATCTGGAACAGTCTTCTTGAAAATGTGAGACAGGCCTCTTCTTCTGTTCCGCTATGCATACAACTGAGCGATTTGATCTTCCTTCTTTTTAGTTTACTGTGATTATTCATGATTTCAATACTTTCTGTAATTGTTTATATCTTGTTTTGCACGGCACTTTAAGTTGCCTTGTGTATGAATTGTGCCATAAATTCATACACATACTGACGTAATAATCGCAACTGGTAATATTTACACGTCGTTGCGGTTGAGCATCCCTGCAGTCATGTATTTTCTGAATGTGTGCGTTTACTATTGGTTTGAGTTGTGTAGACTAGCTCGCTCTGACAGCTGGGGCTCCATCATGCATGTGCGTATCTGGACTCTCATCACAGGCCTGGCAGCTCCACACCGGCCTCCAGCACCTGTTGCACTTTACTGCCTGTGTGAGTTTCTCAAAGGTGATATTTGAGTCGATAACACTGCAAATTCAGATGAAGAGCCGCAATGACTTTACAGGTAGTTTACATTTGCCTTCTGAAGCTACGAGTCCTCCATCTTTCTGTTTTTGTGGCTTAGAGATACAGTTGTGCTCACTTCCTGTTATCATGAAAATAACAGGAAGTGAGCAACAATGCAACAATTATTATAAAATGTATGAATAATATTTGTATAATAATTGTTGCTGTACACATACTAGGCCCAAACCAAGTGGACATAAAAGACGACATTAAATTAGGGATGCACTAGCAGTAAGTAGTAAGTAATCTTTATTTATATAGCGCCTTTCACAGACCAGAGTCGCAAAGCTCTTTACAA